TTCATCCTAAACAACAATTATTAGACGTTGTCAAGGTACTGATCAGGAACAACCATGAACTTGTTGTATTGATCAAATGCTATGAACAGGTCGAAAGATCTATGAAATTTGCAGAAAATTTATGATATTGACCAAAAATTGCAAAGTCAGGCAAAGTCAGCTGTATTGAAAGCTGCTCAAAGTCAAATGCTGTGATGCCTGAGCAAAATCAATGTCATTGTTGTAATCACCACTTCAACAACAATCTTGTTTCCTTAAGCATTCGTCTGGATACATTTCTAAAGTTTTTCCAAAATGTTGTTCTGGACATCGGATCCATAAATTGGTCGTGAGTTTGATCATGCAAAAAATGTTCGAGCAGATAGGAAAAAAGATTGTCAATGTGTTATACACTTAGTCTTTTTGTGCTTTTCAGATGAAGTGTTTACAAAACAATAGTAGCGTATAGCCGAATGATGAGGGGTGTGATGTATGGGGCATGGTAGAAATGAAGAACGGCTTTTTTAGCATTGCTCATCACATCGAATCGCCTGTGAATGAACAGCAGGTCATCCATGACTGGTCACACTTAGCAGTGCTGAGCAACTTAAAACAAAAGTTGCGAGCCCGGATCGCTCGTCAACATTGCAGATCTATCTTGTCGAATGCGATGTGGGTATTGGCACATATCACTCACTTTGTGAATAAGAAACTCGAAACCGCTTCGCACTCTTTGTCAGAACAAGCTCAGGGTGCCTTCATACAGCGCCGGCAGTCGCTGCTAGCAACCCGTAGCAGGCGCCACTAGCCCGTAGCCGCCGCCTGTCGCTTTTGTTCATAGGAGCAAAAAATCATCAAAATTTACTACTTTCAGTACATCCGCCTAAGCTTCTCCTCTCCCACGCTTTTACTTTCTGTTGCCGCCAGTATGCAGTTACATTTCATATATCATACTTGTACCCATTGTTGTTGTTATCTTGTTGACTTAGACTGGTTGTCCTATCAGTGCTCAATTTTCCTCTTGCGGTTAAATCATAGTTCGCCAAAGTTTATCGCTGTTTGATTTCTCTGACTTTGGATGCGTCCAGTTTATGTAGGTGTGCTCTTCGTTTATCTTTTAAGTATAGTTCTGCTTCAATCTCTTCCTTGGGTATCGGTTTGTCCTGAATATTTTCTGTAATGTGTAAGAGTTTATCTGCAATTAGCAGCAATAGGAGGAAAAAAAGCATGGAAGATGAAAAGCGTGTGCACCGGAGTAGTAAGAGTCTGATAATTTTATGCTTCCATGAACAAAAGCGGCCAGCGGCAGCTACGGGGTGCTAGCGGCGGCTGCCGGGGCAGTATGAAGCACCCTGAATGTGTGGTTGGCAAGTTTATACTTGTGGTTTATCTAACATTAAGCTAGGATTGATCTATCCTAAGTTCGTATAAGACGCACGTTTTTCGATTTTTCAAGCTTGCCGCTCAGCCGGCTCGTTGTACAGGGTGTCCCAAAAAATGTATCGAACGTTTGATCGTTAATATCGCTCTTCCCAAGAAGTCTTTTGCCTTGCTTCAAGTACCGTTTTGTAGAGCTGGCTTCAACTTAACATTAGATTAGCATTATAGAACGAATCACCCATACCTCTTCATTACTGTAGGATTACGGTAGAAACTTGAAACATATGGTGTCAATGTGGAAAAAGCTGCCGTTTCAAAATTTTTCAAAAAATTGTGAAAACTTGTGTAATAAGGTTTTTATGGACGCTGAGTTCAATACTCAACTATTCACAAGATTACGAAGCTTTCTAAACGGTGTAATCGCACTTTTTAGGAATATTGAAAAAATGGCCGCTACCTCTTACCTGGCATAACTCTTCAATGAAGCATCATAATAAGTTGGGAACTTTACAGTTATAATCAGCAACTCTAATTAGCCTAGTGTAAAAGCTTTCAGGCTGTTTTATTTCCTTTTGTAAGGCAAAATATGGCCTTTCGTTGCTTAAAACCCTCTTCGAAGTTCCTACCGTAATCCTACAGTAATGAAGAGAAGTGAGTGATTCGTTCTATAATGCAAATCTAAGTTGAAGCCAGCTCTACAGATTGGTACCTGAAGCAAGAGAAAAGACTCCTTTAGAAGAGAGATATTAACGATCAAACGTTCGATACATTTTTTTGGGACACCCTGTATTTCGGAAAACGAAACTTATGCCGCACGATACTCTCAGGCAATGCAACACTGTAAATAGTTTTCTGGTGGCGAAGTTTTTTGGCACACCTGCGCCGTTTGATTCTAGAAAAAAAATTTCCCGCATCCTACTCGCATGAAATAGGGTACTTGGAAATAAGAGAGAACAAGTTCAGGCTTTTTAAGACAATATGTGCCAATCGGTTTCGAGTCTCTTATCGGAAAGCCTAAGTCTAAGTGGCCTTTCCAGCTGTAATCATGCAGTTTTAGAGGGCATTAAACGGTGCGTTCAAATATGTTTCCTTATCTGCGAAGCTCTTCTGAATGAAGGTATACCAGGTCTTCTAACTTAAAATCTGAACGCCTGATTCCCCAGAGTAAAATCAATGGTGACACCTTTTCCAACTCGCAATACAATAATGGTGAGCACGAGGCTAGCAACAAGAGAATTCTCTATTCATAGAAAGGTTTGATCACTACGAAATTTGGCTGTCGAACTATATGTATTTTGTTCGCTAAAATTCCCTTTGAAAGCAATTTACTGGGTCTTCTCTAGTCTGTTCTATTAAAAGCGAAAAATGGGACAAACGACATTTCGGCTTGTTCTAAATTCCATAGTTTGGCTGGCATTTGAAGCGAGAATTTTCATGTGAAAACGCAGTAGTTCTTTGCATATTAAACGCAAAAAGTAGTTGACTCATCTTTGAAACAAAGTTAACATGTTCGAATTTGACCATCATTTGAGTGGCCCAATATTTGGAAACCTCTGAATTTGCTGAAGCTTGACCCATAGGAGTTACTAGACAAGCTATCTCCGAAAATGATGCTCTTATGTTTTAGGGTTCTTTGATTATGCTACGCGATGGTAGCCAAAACATCAATGTGTCAGGTTAACGAACATCATGTTGTCGTTAACTAATATCACCTCGCGAATTATCTGCGGTGGAAGCAGCATCGTTCATCGCGCTCTCGACCCAAACAGCAAATTACTCCCCAAGGGCGCACGCATTGACACCCCCGCCGGAGAAGGGATCGCAGCTCAAAAGAAAGCTTTATATCCTGAAGCGTGAGTTGTATGGATTTCAAGCTTTCTACCTATCCATAAGTACATATTTCCACTACCCTTCAATATAGACATGTTGAACAGGAGCGATAAGTTGTACAAGCCGCATTTCCCAGCTTTTTGTATGATCCCCTGATGATCCTCGATGGCCTAAACAAGTTCTTCTAACATCAAAATCGCGATGAATTCCATTTTTCGATGGGGTTCATCTCAAATTTGACTCTAAGGGCCGCATGCACTAACATCGCCGCGGGGAGGGGATCGCAGCTTAGAAGAAAGCTTTATATTTCGAAACTCCAGTTACCTGGATTTCATCCTACTACCCTTCACTATGAACATGTTGAACAGAAGCGAGAAGCTGTACGAACTGCATTTTCCAGCTTTTGTATGATCCCTGATGATCCCCGGCGATTTTCTTTAAAGTCATTTTTCTTTCTCCGATGTTAACGGAAAACCTCCAAAGTTGTGCGTATTATCTAACTCGACAGTGCTAAGCATGTTGCTGATAAGAACAAATGATGTCTTGAAGTCCTAAAATTTTCGATGATCCACAGGTCGAAATTTGAGGTTTACCGAAAATTCGACTTTTCAAAAACTCATTTGTTCTCATCAGCAACATGCTTAACACTGTTGTGTTAGATGTTCAGTACAACTTTGGAAGGTTTTCGTCAACTTCGGAGAAAGAAAAATGACTTTAAAGAAAAGCGCCGGGGATCATCAGGGATCATACAAAAGCTGGAAAATGCGGTTCGTACAGCTTCTCGCTCCTGTTCAACATGTTCATAGTGAAGGGTAGTAGGAATACTTACGGAGAGGTACACAACGTAAAATTCAGATATCTGGAGCTTCGGAATATGAAGCTTTCTTTTAAGCTGCAATCCCCTCCCCAGCGGGGAGGTTAGTGCATGCGGCCCTAATACACTATTTGTTCTTATCAGAAACACGCTTAATACTGTGTTAAATAATTAGTAAAACTTGGGCACGTTTTTATTGTTTTCAAAGAAAGAAAAATGACTTTGAAGCCGACCGCCAGGGATTATTAGGGTAACATACAAAAAGCTGGAGAATGTGGGTTATACAGCTTTTCGGTCCTATAGTACAGTTGCTTCATTTCATATGATCATGTGTGCCATTGCACACACAGTCCGCTTTGGCGTCCTCATCCTGGATTTGCAATCGCAAAAACGCAAGAGACTTACCGATTGTTATCGAGTACATCAATTTGAGGTGACTAGTAACTAAAAAAGAAAGAAAATGCTAAGAACACCTTAGAAACACTTACCTGAAGGCTTGTTTCTCCCACGATCCAGGATGGGGACGCCAAAGGTGAACTGTGTGTGCAATGACACACATGATCATATGAAATGAAGCGACTGTATGTTTATAATGAAAAGTAGCAGTACTTAGAGATAGGTAGACAGCGTGAAATCCAAATGTCTGAACTTTAGGATATGAAAGTTCTTAAGAACTGTTTTCTCCCTCGGCGGAAATGCTAATGCGGCCCAAGTCACAATGTGCTATTTCAAGGTTGATCGTCACAACGTTATCATGGACTAAATTGTGTGTCTTTCCATAAGGTGCAGATGTGGAAGATCCATCTAAGATCATCATTTGTAGTGCGTTGCTTAAGTTACCAAGTTTGTTCTGCCCCAGATCTGTTCGTTGTGTTATTGAACCCAATACCTTATCATTTTTCCTCAAATCGTCGCTTATTCTCTATTGATACTGCGACAATTCAGCATTCTCTTACACTGCTCTTCCTTGCTCGTGAACATGAACAGTTGCGTAGATGAAATGTGTATGTGCTTGTTTTCATTTGATCAGTGTTGATTTAGACGGAAGTACAGAGTCAAAGCTGAGAAATTGTAGCATAAGTTTGACTTTAGCTCATGCTTTTGACCCGCATAAACGTGATATTTGATGTACTTTTTCACCACTTGATCTTTACGTTTTTGTACAGATGTCTTCTACTCGAGAGTTTCGTGCCGGTCAGATCTCCAACTTCGCTAATCGCATCGAGTACCTAAAAAATCTCAGAAAATGACACGTCTAATTTCTTACATTCTTGATGTATGTTAACTGGAAAAAAGTTCATTCAGTATCATTGGTTGTTATTTAGCATATCAAAATGTCATACCTTATCAAGCATTTCTTTAGTGTGTGCCGCTGACAAACAAAAGCGACAGCGAATCTCCGTCATTCGAACTGCCGGGAATGATATCACAACGATTCCCACTCCTCTTGCAAACATCTCTCTTCCATAAACTCTGCAGCGTACTATCTTGTACTGTTCGTAGAATTACCGTTTGAGTAAAAAACGCATCTTAAAACCACTTTAGCGAGGATCTCGATAACATTAAGTGATCCAGTACAATTAGAAATTAGGGTACAGCTGTTTAGTTCAAAGAACATTATGGCTGTCTAATTCAGGGATCCTTGCTAAAAGAAGTTTTCTGTTAAAAATTTAGCCAGTCTCATAAATAGCATACGTTCATCCGTAGTTTTGTTCATCCGGAGGTTTTTCTAGCCTACAGTTCTATGTTATCCCCTTCGGACCTGGCGTTGGGAATTGCACCATAAAGTTCGGATAGTAGTAATACTGGCACAACAGCGGATTTCTACTACTCACTGCTATAAGCCGTTTCAGACAACTTATTCATTCCTAATAGTGCTTTGCAGCTCCATTTTATCCACAGTGGTTTAGCAATATAAGGACGTTATGTGCGGCAGAGTGGCATAAATCGTAAACTCGTTGACCGCAGCTGGGGCCCAGCTTGAGTAGGCAAATGGACATGGGTGGACATCACTATATACCAAACCTCAGTAGAATACATTTAGTAATATTTGAAAACTCATGTAAAATGAATTTTTTGTCCAGTTCAGGTGGGCATTGAATGGGCAACTGCCCACATGTGGAAAAAGGTTGAGCACGTTTTATTCATATATGTTTTTCATAATTTTTCATACTTTGTTCCTTAGTCTCGTTGCGCGTCACAAACCAAATTTTGCCATACCGTCATCTATGCATTACAAGCGAGCTATTTTATCACTTTGTGGTAGTGGGAAATTTTCAGAAAGGAGCTTATCAAAACCTTCAGTTACATAAATTTCCCACAATACTCTGCAGTGCTATATATGCTCCACCTCGTTCATGTCCGTTTATACTTAATATTATTAGTCATATAGTAGCGGTTATGTGTAGTGCTGTAATCGAGACATTTAATTACAATTTTGATTTGAAAGACTAGATTTTTGAAGATGACACGTGCACAAGATTGTGTATTCAACAACTTGTGTTTTTAGCAACTTGTCGGGAGAGTTTATGTACATGTAAACGTATAAATAGAATATCCCCTTTGCTTTTACCCCAAAGATTTCCAGCCTGACATTTGCCCATCTCGTACTAGGCCTGGTTACAGCATCTGCTAGTCAACTTTCTCCCTAGTTGAGATATAATCCTACTATTCAAACATGTGAAGTATGGTCACGAGAACAGGTGATATGAGTTTATCAACTTCGTTAAAATTTCTGAGTTTTTCACAAAAACTCAAAAATTTTAACGAAGTTTAGGGAAGAGTAGATAAAAAAAATAAAAGCACCTTGTTGTTGTAAAAGTCCCAGATTTCGCTATGCTGTTACTCGACGCTTTCTCATCATGCTCAATGGGAAAACTCAATCCTTACGGAGAAAATTCAGGTCCGAAAAGATTTATGCTTGCAGCAAATTCGTGAAATCGATCGAACAGTTCGCGAATATTCCAAAAGATAAACAAAGATAATCAGAAACTTTTCCAGCCAGGCAAAATTTCTAATTTCATCACATGATTTGGTAATAAAAACTGACCCGTATTCTGGATGGTAGAGCATCACTGGTACAATCGGACTGTCATCGCTACCGTAAACAATGAAACCCATCTGCTTTAATCGTAGACGGAAATAGCGAGCGTTTCGAGCAAGTTGTTTGATACGACGAACGCCTAAACAACATCCCACTCAATAAGATCATGATGTTCAGCAAAGGTTTACTACCGTCATCTGTGCCCTCCTTTCCCATAATGATACTCATTGATGTGATTACTTGTTGCGCCACCGGCGGCGACATTGGAGACGAGTACAAGCCGGTCGGTGAATTTACACGCAGATGGTCAATAACTTCCTGGAATTTGAGCAGTCTGTCTTTGTTGTTTGTAATTTTCTTTCAACTGCTCGAGATTCCCATACCTTTGTTCCAGCTATGAAACCACCAGAAGCGCCGAAGCTTTTTGTGAATGTTCCCATGCGTATGTCAACATCGTTTGGGTTACATCCCCAGTATTCAACTACTCCTCTGCCCGTGCTTCCAAGAGAACCTATAGTCACACAAATAATTTGAGTTAAGCGACTGTCAGTTCTATCTAAATTGTGCTCCATTCATAATAAAGTGTTAAGTCCGTTCGTTTTCTTTTGTTTGTGTGTAAAACTCTGTCACGAGATCACAAAGCGAGTTTTAACCAAACTCTAATGTTAGATTTTGTGTGGCATAGCAGCTGTAGGCCATTACGTAACACCTTTAAAAACTGTACACTATTTGAATTCATCGCGCTTTTAACTTATCATTCATCTTCCGACTAGAGACTCAAGCATGCTTTGCGTATGTAAGTTTCATTAACAAGTCCATGTGACTTTTACTTTAGTGACTTTTAAGACTTTCGGTTAATTTACTCTTAGGTTCTTGAAAGAATATGTTCGAGCAAAAGTCCGTGATTTATTAAAACGCGTTAAAACGCACTCATAAACTTGTTGATCACACGTGCGCAAAGCGTGCTCGCGTCTTCTATTCAGATAATGAATGGTAATGGTTGAGTTTCTGTTTGATCTCTTTGCGAAGCCTTTGGTTTATTTGGTCTTAAAGTTTGCGAATCAAGGACTTTAATTTGAACAGTCTTTGAAATAAATGACGCTACAAGAGGTGGTAGCATAAACTGATTACTGGAGGTTTTCCTGAGTAGTTGTTGAAAAGTCTCGTTTGAGGGTTATATAATCCGTTACAATTCGTATAGGAGCATCAAGTTGAAAGAAACTCGATTGCCAATTCTCTTGAAAAGCTTTTTTCTATGAAAGTAGCAAAAGGGGAAGGTGCACCATTTTGATGATCATATTACTCAGAGAGTAAAAAAGCAGATCACAACATTATGCAAACAGAGGAGCAAATAGTACCAGGTCGTTAAGTAAGTTTTGCTCTGTTTTAAACTTTTTGCGCAGTTAGTCGTACACCTTACAATTGATTAGGTTCCAGAGTACCATTCGACAAAACAAAACAGCATTTACAGGATGTGTCTGAACATTTGCATCAACTGCGACCTACTTAAAAGCCAAAAAACCCAACTATGCGAAAAATCGGTAAAAATGGGAAGTCAGTGTAAAGAAACGAAACTCTTTATGCTTTTACCAAAACTATTCTGGGCTGCTCCCACATAAGTAACTGTTACTACAACACTATAGAAGTGAAGCCTAAATCTTCAATGCAATATTTCCATAAACTCCTTTGCAAGCGATAATTTCACAACAAAATTGATTTATCTTTCTTTATCAGATGTTTCATGCTAAAGTCAATAATTTCAGTTTAAAATGGGGTTATTTTAGACGACTCAATTTTCTTCTATTTTCTCGAGTATCTAAAACTTCTCGGACTTTGGCTTCAATGTGAGGCGGATCGAGGCTGGTGCCTACTTCCATATGCCCTTTTTCAAAATTGCTTTGTTCTATCGTAAGCTACACTAAAATTTGATCAAAACAAGAAGTGTATGACTTATCGTGGTGAAAAGTTGAAATGTAACAAAAATTACCAACTGATAGAGAAGTGTTTTATTTTTTCCTCATCCACCGCGTAAGAACAGGTTATGCCCATACTAGTGTCTTATTGCATATCTATAGAGAAAAGCACATCAAAACTCACCAACAGAGTGTGCTTCGTCTATATATAGGTAAGCTTTGTATTTCCTCTTCAAAGCGATAATAGCAGGTAAGTTACATATGGATCCTTCCATCGAGTACATTCCTGGGAATGTACTGTTATATATTCATTGTTCATCATACCCACTATTCTACTCATTACCTTCAACTACTATTAGGATCTTTTTGTAAGGTTGATGTGTTTTTGGATTCCCATAGGTTATTGCGTCACGAATGGTTTTCTCGAGAGATTCCATATCTAAGCGCTGCATATGTGCTCTACTTCCTCTATATTAATATCGATCATATATCAAACTTACCATTGTGTTTGAAAACTTCAATCATAGCACCAGATAAGCGACATCCAAGAACAAGCGAAGCATGATTGTGTTGATCGGAGACTATCAGCGAATGCTGCACACTGTTTCTTGAGGTCAAAGAACGAAGAAACTTCGGAACCATTTTTAAGCTTACTCTATCGACCAAGCAAGGCACATTCATCGAATTTGTTGCGAACCCCATGCTAAATGCGATTGCATCATCGACACCAAAAAACTCAGCAATGAGTTTCTCCAATCTACGTTGCGTTGAAGATTTACCTAAAAGAAATGGTGACCGTTTTCTTCTTTTTGAAAATTTATTAGATTGGTAGAATCTACACGGAAACAGCTTCGGAAACTGTGTGCCTTTCCAGAAGCTAGTTTAGCTACTTTTGAAAACATATCGCAGCTTTTTTTGCATTTTTGCACATTTTGTGAAATCATTGGGGGACAAATGTTTTTTTTTGTCAATTCAGCGCTTCAGTGTATTATGGTGAATGGTGCTAAATAAAAGCAAATAAACTTTATTATATAAAGTTTTGCTATTCAAGATTGTGAATTGTTAACGTTTGAAAGCTGTCTAAGAGTTTGAAGGAAGTGGTTTAGCAAAATCTTAACTATATGCATTTTATCATTTTCCTCTTCAGTGTGTTGCTAAGGACTGCGATTCAAAGTTTTTTGTTAGGTTCCGAAAGTTCTTGCCGTGACCTATCATGAAAACATGTGGCATAAGGATGGACAAACACTTCAAAAACTAGTTAGCATTTCTTCCTCTTCCAGCCTTATGCTTCTGGATATCTCCTTTTAAGACTGTTAAATTAATGATGTTTTAAACTCATGACCCACCATGCTCGAAATTAGCATTTTCATAAATTTTTCTTCAGAATTTTTGAGTTTTGCGTCACGAATGGTTATTGTAACAGCGATATGAACGAAGTGCACGATAGAGTTTTTGGCGTCTCCTGCTGTCTTTTCGAAATTTAATTACCCTAATTTCACGCGTACAAGGCGCACCTTTTTCGATTTTTCAATCAAGCCCCTCATCCGCTCCAAAGTACTTCGTAAAGCGATCTTTATGCCGTGCGATTCTCGCAAGCAATATACAGCACGGCATAGGGTCCTTTGGTTGCAAAGTTCTTTGGCGTATTTGGGCTAGTCAATTTTGGAAAAAATTCCCCCGCGCCTTGTACGCGTGAAATTAGGGTATCTTTCATGATGTTCACTACCCTATTTTCAGGTGTATAAGCCGCACCCTTTTCGCTCTAAAGCGAACACGCCAAAAGACTGACTGTCATTATGGAGCGCGTTAAGTGAGAGCAGTATGCGATAAGGCGGCCGCTTCGCGAGACATATGCGCGGCGGCACGCTTGGTTCTGCTCGCGTTTAGAGCAAAAAGGGTGCGGCTTATACACCTGAAAATAGGGTAATTCATATTGGTCAAGCCAGCCTCACAGAACATTAACCGACGAGCTGTTCGGATGTCACTCGATGCATTTCTTTTCCCGTTTTCTGCTGAAGTCATTCTTCTCTTCTGATTTGTGAAGCCTACGCAAAAGAAATCAATTGTAAACTTGAACTCAACTTACGCCAATTATAATATAATCAACTTTTGAATCTTAATGTATTACGTTACCCACTTCCAAAACTTCACAAATTTTGAAGGTCTTTTAGCATTGGTGAGTTGTATGACACAACTTAGCAATAGAAAACTCTTGAAATTTTTTTGAATATTCTGGAAAGTTAGTGACTGTGCCTGAAATTTCATTTAAAAATTTCGTTCACACTAACCAGTTGTTGTCAAAAGTTCTTGAACTGTGTGCCCATCTTCATTCCGCGTGTTTCTAGGATAGGTCGGAAGAAGGCGAGAACTTTTGGACAGACGTAATAGATCTTTAAAAGTTACTTTCTTTCAAGTTTTAGATTATGCGCAAAATTTGCTTGTTTCTTTCTAAACTGATTGGGTGACAAAGTCTATAAGTATATACTGAAATGAGCGTGGGTGCTCCACAATCAAAATCTAAGCCAATTATTTCGTAGATCTTTTTCGCTTTCAGCTCGTCGAAAGGAAATCAAAAGATATGAAATTCAAGTGATTGAGAGTTTAAAAAATTTAACGTCATATTGATAAGTGCAAACTATAAGGTGTTAAAAGTGAGCTGAATTCTCATTAATTATTTATGAGCAATCTGATTTCATCAGCATTGAAAATCAGTGGAACGTTGTCACCTCTTTCGTGAACGGTCGTACATAACGCTAATCCTTGTTCTTCAATTTTAGCCATTGCAGCTTCAGCGCAAGGGCCACTAGAATTGGCGAATCCGAGGTAGTTGTATGAAACAACGTTAATCACATTGGTTTGGGTTCCTGTGTATCTATAAATTTTGATATCCGGCACTGATATTGCTGCAGCTTTACGAGAAATACATAGATACTAAAACCTTACTTGAATGTCCAGTTGTGATCATCGGAAGTTCTATCAAGGAGATTCACCGTAGGTCCTGGTGCTGTTACAATTGGCCTCTCATAAAGGTCTCGTACGGTCATAAAAATATACCGTTCAAATAAAGACTCGAAATCAGAGTATAGTGGAGTGAAGTCCTAAAAACAGGATCCGATACATTGTAAAAAGCTGTTTGTAGAATTAAGCGTAAAAAGTTTCTTCACATTCAAATATGTATTGATTAACAGCTATTGCAAGTTTGCATATGTTGAACTCTACTGCTTTTGAGATTTTTACTAACACTGTTCCTCATCATCATGTGGTTCAAGCCTGGGTCACATCTATCTTAACCGATTTGTACAGCTTGCTTGCTTTAATTGCTTAATTATGCTATGCTTGTTGCTAACTTGTCGGAGTTGGACTTTCCTCGGCAGACTGTTTGGGCTATAACCTGGTTTGTCCTTTGGAAAACTCTTGAGATCGTGGCTGGCAAACGAAGGGGCGTGGGTACCATCTGCATAGATTCATTCATTTAGAATCATAGAGCTGTAAGGGGAGATGGAAGCGCTGCCTTTCGCGTTGACTTTCGGGGGTTAGAAGTGGCAGAGAGAGAGAGAGAGAGAGAGAGAGAGAGAGAGATTGAACTTGGCCTATGAGTTCCATTGTGGGGACTTCTAGTCCGTGACGTTATTTGACCGCGGGTCTCCTTCTGCAAAGCCGCTGCCTTCAGTATGGGATGGCGATCGAATTGCAATGCTTAGCCAAGCTTAATCCTCTGGCAAGAGCTGCGAAAGAGTCAATCCTTTACAGCTTGTTTCTAAGCTTCCAAAGCCTCCGTTGTGCAAGCGATGCAGGTCCTCGCTCAATACGGCTCTAGGCCGTGGATGTATTCTTTGACTGCCGCTTAAATAGTGCCTTATTCAGGCGTATTTGGCTTATGTGCTAAATTTGCATGGGCGCTGCCGTGCCTAAGCCGAAATAGGTCTAAAACTGCAGATTTTGGATGTCCGAGTGTAGTTCGTTATACTATCAGGTTTTCCAAGAATAATGGTACATCATCTATTATATTATATTACCACGCAGTATCACTGCCTAACAATTAGTAATTGGGGTACTGTTTGATAGAGCAAAGCAAGCTGTGCAAGGTGAAATTCAAACACAAGCTTTATTTGTGTGAATTTTCAAAAGGCTCCAAATGCGTGAAGAAACGGATATTATATTATTTCTCCGTAGTCCTAGAGACTCAAAACTTGCTCATACGTTAACTATCCACAGCAGACACTTATGCACAGCTCAGCGATTTTTTGAGTCCGATCGAGAAAACAAAATTCAACCCGTTTTCGAAGAACAACCCTAAGCGTCTCCCAAATGGTATTGTAGTATGAATCTTTGGAAGTTTGACCATGAGTGTACAGCTTTCTACAAGCGTTAGTCTTCAAAAGATATCAAATTTTGCATAAAAAAGTGCAAAAAGATCTTTGTTTTTTGGACAATTTTGTTTCTCACATGGAAAAACTTTACTACCCTAATTTCACTCGTACAAGGCCCACCTTTTTCAATTTTTTGAGCGAGCCGCTCATCCGCTTCTCTTTTCGGAAAGCGATCCACATGCCACGGGACGCGTCCAGTGAAGTGAATTCGTAGTCGCAGTGAATTTATACGCTCACGGCAGCGCAGCCTCGCCGGTTATGGATGTACATCTATATTTGCCAGGTTCATGTTCTTCGAGAGGTTCCTTCACAGCGAACGAGCTTATATTTTCACTGCGACTGCAGCGGCGCACGCCGCAGGACGCGGCGTGCTGCGGCCGGCTGCTGCGTCCTGCGGCGTAGTATGAAGGAACCCTTTGATTGCAGTGGCTCGGCAAATCTCAACCTAGTCAAATTTTTGCTTGCCTGGGGTTATTCAATACGGTGATTCCGAAAATCCACTTTTGAGAGCTTGTAAACGCCGAAAACGAGCGTTTTCAATGCCCTTCCCATTGGAATTGGAAGAGTGGAGCAAGGCTGATGACGTCGAATCGTTGCAGGACCCAATGGTTACAGCATTGTGGCGGACAGCCTCCAATGGTGAGAAGGAAATTGCTAACTCGTCCGGATGCGTGTAAGATTGGCCTGCGCGTGTAAGTTCAAGAGCAATTTTCTCTGCAGGGAAGGCATGCTGTGCAATCGGGATTGCACTGTTTTCATACTTGGGCAATAAGGAGCCTACCGCGTTGAAAATTTGAGTTGTTGAGTTTTGCCGAACCACTGCCTTTAAGTAATATTCATCAAGGTGCAGGGTTCTTTGGTTGCGAAATCCTTTAGCTGTTTGGGCTGTTCGATTTTGAAAAAACCTTGCTCCTGTACGCGGGAAATCAGGGTAAGTGCACATGTGGATGTCTAATTCGGAATGTACGTATTTGAATAATTTGTAGGTTCGCACTTGAATGAAAGAGATGTGATTTTTCGGGTATTTAGAACTTCTGATATTTTCTTTCAAAACTCACGTGAAATAGAGATTGAAGATGAACATTTGCAGAGGTTTGTATTCCATTTTGTAGGGCTTGTTTCCCCCTATCAAATGGTAGCCCACTTACTTCTTGCTCTAATAACCCCGCCGCGGTGGCATGTCATGTGACATTGTCTTTGGGACAACCTTATTTTTCTGCATTCCATCTTCTTCACACTCAAAAGTGATCTTACTTGAATCTCAATGATTTTTGTCTTTTTTTATCTCAAAATTGTGCTTACTTTTATTATGACACCAAAGTAGTGGCTCTATGTATCAATGGTACAACCGTAGGTGCCTCTATGTGGAAAGGGTGTACTAACTGAAAAATCCACTGCTTCAGCTGCGGTACATAGACTTTCTATCACACCATTCAAGAGAAGAGAATTGTAGATGACTTTTATGATTGGCAGAAATAGGTGCTCTGCTCACAGTCACATGTGAAATAGGGACGATCACTTTAGTCTCAAGTAAGTTTTTAGCTATCTTTCCTCATACACTCACTTCTAAGTTTTGTAACGGATTCAATCAAAGGAAAACCTACCCTTTGTTCTTTCCGCTCTTTATTAGCATAGTCAACCTCGAGTCCCCATCTCCTTAATATTTCGCGAACATATGCAAGTAACAGTATACATGTCCAATGAAGATATACTAACAGCTTGAAGAAGCTGCCTTTCTAAACAAAAATTGTTACTACTGGCGAAATTACGTTTTTTGCAGACATCTGCATAGTTCACTAGACCTGAGTACCTGCTCAAACTCATTCTTCGGACGTTCTGTTCTTGTTCCGCAAATACGCTTCTTCTGTGCCACTGGTATTGGCTCAATTGCAGGTAACTCTCCCCCTTCGTCCTTGAATTAGTCATTCGCATCCTATCAACGAAGCCGCGATGGCCTTTTTTAAGAGGATGTGCGTCAAGAGACTTTATTAGTGATCAAGCGCTTTTTATCTGCCAATTAGTTCACTGAACGGAGTTACGGGCATTTGAGGTCAGGACACAGATTATGCAATTCGGCGAGCCCAAACTCAGAAATTTGGAAAGGTCAACAGAGAACAATTCATTGCATTTCACTACCACACCATGCCGTTTATGAGGGTGCAATTTCAGAAGAATACCTCAAAACTTTGCGCACTAAACTTTTTAGCATTCAAGGAACAAATAGATAAGCACTGCCTTTACGGACTATTGCTCTAATCGTAGCATGTCAAATGGCCAGTGGTCAGTAGAAGCGGCGCTAAGCAATAATCGTTGCTCCATCATGCTCCCCCTCCCTCCAAATCTTATTCGTTAGATAGAGATGCAAAGAGAATAGCAAGCTTTTTATGACCTCTCACTGAATAGGCAAATACCTTTACTGATTAACCGCTCGTGTAAAAGTTGTGATTTGCAAGGAAACAGTGCGAGACAGCTGCGTTCAGTTTACACAGAATAATAAACGTACATACGCGCTATTTGCTTAGGAGTGCAGATCTTGAGCGTAATACGAGGTTGTTCTCGAGGTTTCGTCTGGTTTTCGACTGCCTTGATCTAAACAATGCAGCCGTTCCAGGGTCCCGCAATTATTGATTGCAGTATTATGAGCACCATCCGAAAGCACTTTTCTCCTCTTTCCAATGCTTACCCAATTTTGATGGAAAACTTATGAAGAATCTTATATGTATAGATGAATGTGTGTGTGTGTGTGTGTGTGTGTGTGTGTGTGTGTGTGTGTGTGTGTGTGTGTGTGTGTGTGTGTGTGTGTGTGTGTGTGTTCCGAATAGAAAATTCCAATTCTGAATCGATCCGGACCAAACTTGCCACACATACACTTCGGGGCGGGGCTGTTGTCATAGGCACTTTTCGTCATCGATCGATATCGATTTTTATCGATTTTTTTGTGAATTTTGACCTGTGGGGCTGGGAGTTGCCACAGGGGGGGGGGTAATCGAGCATGCTGATTGCGAATACAGTATTAGTTTCTAGAAGTATCCATGATTTTTATCGATTTTGTCGTTCTTTTTTCAAAGTTTGAGCTACTGGGCTGGGAGTTGGCTCAGGCGGTAATCGAGCATGCTGGTTACTAAAACAGTGGGAATAGTGAATTGGCATGCAGATGTGGGCACAGGGAAAAGTTGTACAAGGATAGGGATGAAAGCTTTATCATAGTGTTTTGACAGGGTCAAGTGGAGCCGGGCAAGCCAGTTAGTTTCTGCATATTTGTAAGATTGCGCAGTGTTTGTAAAATTACCTATGTAATATTTGTAATTTATACTGGGTGAGCTGTGATGAGCTAGCATATGCACTTTTACCGTATAGAAATTTCATTCTTTTTGAATCTGCCCTTAAAGATTGGAGAATTTTTTGGTTTCCAGTTCTACAAGCGACAGCAATCTACCAGAGAGAAATGATGGATTCAATACTGTATAAGTTAGAGGAGAACAAGAGCAGCAAGTCCATCGCCAATTACGTTTTTCGCTTCAGCAAGAAAAAACTCGAATATCGGAAAGTCGGCGTACTTGCGCGCGCGGAGAAAGACTCGAATAATGGCTTTTTTGACCTGCCTATAAAGAATTCTATGCAGTGAGAATTAGACATAGAATGTTGAAATATAGGATAAATAATGATGGCAGGCAAATATGCGTGCCTATAATCATACCGCAGCATCAATCAAAATAGGCAGTCTCGAAAACCTTGCAAAACTCTTCAAAATTTGCTCTTATCTCCCACTTGCTTTCCTCACATGTCATACTGTGTTGACAGCTATAAACTTGAGAAATCATCAGTATTCGACTTGCTCAAATATTAGGTTGTCCCAAAAGTAAACTGTATCTCTAAATAAATCCAATTGTATTTGTTTTCCTGGCAAACTTGAGGTACCATTTGATACAGCGAAGCAATCTCTACAAAATGACCATCAAAGAACCGTCTAAGCGCGGTCCAGGTAAAGCTTGGATCCAAAAATCAAAATTTTTCAGTTACCCCAAAAATCGGATCTCCTTCCAGAAAACTCCTACGGACTTCCAACTCGGTCTTATAGGCAGTGAATCGGCAAAACCGAACATCTCAAAATTTTGATATGGAAGGTTGCTTGCACCCCAAACGTGAGAGAGCAGGTCCGAGCGCAAGGCATGCTACCTCTGCCTAAAAACTGCCCCTAAGCCACTTCTTACACGCACTCGGACGAGCTTGGGATTTCGCTTTCACCGTCAGAGGAGGCATGCCGCTATGTTATAACCATGGTGGTCCCGCAACGACCCTGCGTCTCTGACCATGGCCGGAACCGTTCCACTCAGATTCAAATTGGGGGTCTTGAAAAATGCTGGTTTTCGTCATTTTTGCGCTCTTCAAGGTCAATTTTTAGATTCTGCGCGTCAAATATCCCTAGGTAAGCGAAGAAAACTTTAGGTCGAGGATTTGCCGAGTCATTGCCTTTATATAGTACACATACAGTGCTGGCCAAAATTATAAAGACACTCTTGGTGCAAAAGTTTTGTCAGTTTTTTCAATCCATTGGCAAACACGCCAGAATGAAGATAAACAAACATTTCAAAGAATGTCCGATGCAGAATTTTTTCCTCTTTGCAGATGCTAAACTCCCGTTGTGTTTTGTTGAGAGTATGACGAGATATTTGCCGGAAATTACAACCACTCGTTTTTACCATGTCCAACTTTCACTAATTTTCAAAATTTTTGGACGAGACTTTCGGAGAAACCCTAATAATCAGCACACAGGGCAGACTTTTTGCCAACAGAGGCAATTTTTTGTAGCCCTACGCCTTGTTTTTTGAAATTCTACGAAATTTGTGAGGAAAATCGCAATATTTCTCAATTTCAAGAGTGCGCGCTGAGGTAACCTATGTTTTCACAACACCTTTCGAAAATTGTTTAACAAAAGTCTGAAAAAGCAGCTAAAAAAAGAAAAAAATTGCATAAATTGGCAAAAGGTTTGCCCTATCTGGTGGTTAATAGAATCCCTCTGAAAGTCTCATGCAAAAATTTTGAAAATTAGTGAAAGTTGGACATGGTAAAACGAGTGGTTGTAATTTCCGGCAAATATCTCGTCATTCTCTTAACGAAACACAACAGGAGTTTAGCAGCTGAAAAGAGGAAGAAATTTTGCATCGGATACTCTTTGAAATGTTTGTTTATCTTCATTCTAGCGTGTTTGCCAATGGATTGAAAAAAATGACAAAACTTTTGCACCAAGAATGTCTTTATAATTATGGCCAGCACTGTAGTAGTATCGAAAAATGTTTTTGGTTGATTTTTTCCGAGGCTGAAAATTGAGAAACAAAGATGTTCCCAAAATGCCAAAATGCCACTTTTTCCGGGTTTTTCAGGTAACACTCGGTATTTCTTGATTATAAGAGCACATACAAGAGTAAAGTATCACGGTTATATTCAGTAAGGCTTGTAGTACACGAAGACATATGTGGGAGGTGTGGGCGGAGTTTGCCGTTTTCAGACTATCTCTTTTTTCTTGCTTTCTAAGCCCGAAAAAAATCCAGTAAAGACATATTCGAAGACTACCATGTATCTGCTGTATAATCAGGGTCAAGCGTGGGGTGCGGCACGCCATACCTGGGGGGTCGTATTGAGGATTCAAAAGGGGATGGGGTCGTAGTTGGGTAATCTGATAATAATGATAACATGATATTTATATCATACCCATAATTAGCATGTCAATTAACCCCTGTAGACAAAATGTGAGCGAATTCTGAAGTTTCAAGATGTTAGGCTACCTAAACGAAATAGTCAAATTCCAACATGGTTAACTTTGTTTCAAAGGTAAATTAGCTATCCGTTTTTGCACTGAAGACAAAGCACTACTCCTTCTTTGTCCACCTCAGGAATCCCGCTTCAGAAGACCTGCAAACTGTGGAATTAGAAGCCAACCAAAATCTCGTTTTTCCCATTTTTCGAAATTGATCGCTGTGCTCTCACCAAATATTACTCAGAGCTAAGAAGACGAATCAGGCTCCAAACAGTCCTATGGAATCTACAAGGTTTAGGCTATCGATTCATATAAATACTGTCCGCTAAAAACGTTTTTTTGATACAGTCAATGGGGTGCGGCACACCCCCTTAACTTGCCTTCAAAATCCAGAAAGCGTTCCATTGCTGGTATGAGTATTGAGCACATAGCTTCTTCTTGCTACACTGGAAATTTGGAGCCGAACGCCCCTCCCATATGAAAATTATCGCCCTTTCAATATGCCCATTCAGATCAAAATCAGCCGTCAAATTACGTGTGGTTGTAAAGTGCAGTCACAGAAAATCGGGCGTACAGAAATCGGAAAACTCTCTAGAAAAAGCTGGTGTCCTCCAGAATGTCACACTTTGAGGTCCAGAGGTTAAAAGGAAAAAGAAGTGGTCGTTTGATGGCTTTCATGGGAGGGGGGGTTGTTCTCGAAAGATTTGTGCCTGACCTCTTTCTCAACTCTGTGTATATTGACCAAGTTTGAGTTCCGTACGATTATTTTTCGCAAAAACCCAATTTTTAGGTAATGAATTTTTTTTCCGATTTTTGCTCCAAACTTTACCCAGATAACGAAATAGACGGATCTTTTGCAGTCATTCTGTAGAGCTTGCTTCGCTTTATCGAATGGTACCCCAAGCCTGCCAGGAAAAGAAAAACAGTTTGATTTATTTAGATATACAGTTTACTTTTGGGGCAACCTACTATGTTAATTTTGAAGGTTTTTTCTTTGGACTATCTGCAAATCCAAAGAACTTTCGGAACAGCATGGTAATATTGACTGCCTCACAATTTTTGCAAGCTCGCTTGGAAATGCCAAACGCGCATTCTTTTTCTTTCACCCTAACTCTACAATCTATGCTAAGTGGAAGAGACGTGAGGTTTCATTACATGATATAAGGTGCTGGCCATAATTAAAAAGACTCTTGGTGCAAAAGTCTTGTCAGTTTTTTCAATTCATTGGCAAACACGCTAGAATGAAGATAAACAAGCACTTCAAAAAGTATCCGATGCAGAATCTCTTCCTCTTTCCAACTTTCCGACTAGCGTTGTGTTTCGTTGAGAGAATGACGAATTTGCCGGAATTTACAACCACTCGTTTTTACCATGTCCAACTTTCACTAATTTTTAAAATTTTTGTATGAGATTTTCGGAGGAGCCTCAATAACCACTAGATAGCGCAAACCTTTTGCCAACAGAAGCAATTTTTTTCTTTTTTTCAGCTGCTTTTTCAGGATTTTGCTGATTAATTTTCTAAAAGTCTTGTGTTTTGGAAAAATAACCTGTTATTGCACCAAATACTGCAAAACCTACAGAATACTGAGATTTCAACACTCGATTATACCGCGACCATTACAAAGTAAATGAGCGATTTTCGCTTCAAATGATGAAAATTTTGAAACATAGGTTACGTCAGTGCGCGCTCATGAGATTGAGAAATACTGCGATTTTCCCCACAAATTTCGTAGAAATTCTAAAAGACAGGGCGTAGGGCCACAAAAAAATACTTCTGTTGGCAAAAGGTTTGCCCTATGTGCTGGTTATTCTCCGAAAGTCTTATACAAAAATTTTGAGAATTAGTGAAAGTAGGACATGGTAAAAACGAGTGGTTGTAATTTCCGGCAAATATCTCGTCATTCTCTTAACGAAACACAACAGGAGTTTAGCAGCTGGAAAGGGGAGGAAATTCTGCTTTGGATACATCTTGAAGCGTTTGTTTATCTTCATTCTAGCGTGTTTGCCAATGGATTGAAGAAACTGACAAAACTTTTGCACCAAGAGTGTCTTTATAATTATGGCCAGCACTGTATAACTCCTTTTCTAAGAAACGTTAATGCGAGCTCAAAACCACGCGAAGTGCAATTTCTCAAATGTGTGAGTGGCCAAGAAACCAATGAGCACTTCCTTCTCATCCCTTGACATTTTTTACGCATGCCTTTTTCCTTTAAAACCAGTTGTTGACGACTCACCTGATTTGAACTTACATCATCCTTGTGTTCTGCGTTTATGTGTTGATCTTGCCTGGTGCACTTCAACATTTCATGCGCTTTCGTGATTGCCTGAAATTCGTCATTACGGTCAGATGTGATGGGAGATGATCCTTCCTGAGCCTGGTACACAAAGAGCTTCTAAGCAAGAATGCATTAGTAGCGAAAGTATTAGTAAGTGACTATGATTTTTCATGGCTAACGATAAGTGAGTGCAAAATCAGGATGTGGAATCCTTATCCGCGATTCGCAAAGAACTTCATTTTTGAAAATTAGATAGAACGAATTACACCGTCCATTTGGTTTTAGTAATTTCTTACGCATCTCAACAGCTGCTGTTCTACTTTTGCATCTGACGTTTTAGGTCAAATCGAAAACACATTTACTTCTTTGTTTCTTTGTAAATGGCAGACTATTTACGAAGCCCAGAAGAAATTTTACAATGAAATTTGTAAAATGGGCAGTGCTGAGATGTTAGCGGCGTGTAAACGCAAACTTCAACTATTTGATCACAGGAAGTAGAGCGACTATTCCGATCAACTCTTTTATTGTACACCAAAATTTTTATAATATAGCCGGAACAGTAATAAGCTAAGTGAGCAAAAGCGTCGCATATTTGACCACTGATCTACCACAACAGAATTCCCATTTGCGGTGGATGTCTAGCACACTGAAGTAGGTCTTCTTTCATAAGTTACTCTTCTCTCTACTTGCAATGATGATCACACAGATATAAAAAAGACAAAATCTCATTACAAAATGTAGTTGTCATCATTCAAGCTCGTGATGTCCTTGGCCCAAAGGACTCAACGAGCTACTCTAAATTACATGCGAAACTGCATGCACGTCACACCAAAGCTGATAGGGTAATTGTAGTTGCAACCCTAACACATGTTCTCTCAACCTTCCTCTTGCTATTTGGAATCTACATACTTTGGATAGGATAAGATCTACTTCGGAGCCTAGTGATGTCACGATAGATTTCGCAGTTTGTAGCTTATCGATCTCATTTAGGTGTCAAATAAGAACTACTCAAATCTCCCGTTATCGTTGGTAGTAGTAGGCAAAACGAAAACTCATGAAAGACACGAAATGTTGCAGTTTCTCGGTTGAATTAATCCACATATGATCTGGAGTATCTGAAAATTGGCTTGAAAGAAGCTGGTGTCATGCTCACTATGTGATATTTATTCTAGTAGAGTAATTGCCATTTCTGGCATTCTGGGAATGACATCTGATCTAAAGTCGCATGGCAATGTTCAGACAATGAGCGGAAGACGAATGATTAAGATGTTGTGAAAGACTAACTGGCAAAAGAACCAGGTCGGCGAGAAGTCCAGCAAGTACACTAAGAAAATTGTTGAAGCAATGCAAACAATCAAAACTTAAGGTGTTCAGAGGAGAGACTTAATTGCGTTGATTGTTAAGATTGTTTAAAGTAAGCCGTAACATCAGTGTTCTTCCAATGTATCTTACGCAAATGTTTTTACAATTTGCGCATCAAATCGATTTCACTGAATGTATGGCCGCAAAGAGAGGGTAGGGAAAAGGTGGAAAAGAAAGCTTGGGAGTGAGAGGGGAAACAGAAAGGAAAAAAGTTGGGTTTTACACCATTGAACAAAGAGATTCACCCACATCTCATTCAATGGTGCCTTCCGGTAACATGTGATCGTAATTTTTACGAACCATGTTCTGAGAGCGATTTTCGCTCTGTTTTGAATTTTTACGAATGTTGCAAATGCGATTCCCATAGCTTCGACAACTAAAGCGACGAATTGCTTTGCAATGCTTTTATGATGGAGTTATGATGTGAAACGTACATATATTAGATTCACTTTTGTGGTTATGCTAGTGGTTGCTCTTTAGCTAACGGTGTTTTTTTAACTTTGAAACGCCATGCATAATATGATACATATTATGGAAATATCGAATACATACGACTCTGCATGGCAGTAAGTTTTATAAACAGTCTATAAGAATTTCTGGGGTATATGCTGCTATACAGTCGAGTAGATTTAGCGGTAAATATAGTGTGCTTGCACAGAAGGTGAAATGCGGTGAAATTTGCGCGTGAACAAGTAGCCACGTCAGTACCGCGGGTATCTTGCGCGCGCAGTTGGCCGGCGTCACAGTTAAAACTATTTCTTCACGCGCCAATTTTACCGCATTTCACCTTCTGTGCAAGCACACTATATTTACCGCTTAATCTACTCGACTGTATCTGTTACTCAGACACTGGGACCGGCCGAGCCGCGGCCCATTTCCGGCTGGAATTTCGCAGCGTCCGCGGACCAGCCGGTGAATGGTCCGCGGCTCAGCCGAAAAACGGCCTCGGCTCAGCCGGAAAACGGCCGCGGCTCAGCCGGAGCTGGTTGTCGGGCCATCTAGTTCATTCTAGCTCGGATACAAAACGACTGTTTTTTTTATTCACTGGCACGTAGATTATACGCTGTGAAAAACAAAAATTGAGGCCACAGACATGACCGCTTCGGAAACCATGTCCGGCTTCAAAATTGGACAACACAAAGTGCTATCCAGCTGTTGTACAACATATTCAAGTGTTGTACAACCTATTGGTCTTGTTCCTGCCTTGGAGACTGGAAAGACAACGGAGGCTATGGACACTGAGGGCAGCCTGAGCATGCGTCGTACATCACGCAAGTGTTCTTTACGCTCAGATACTAGGACCGGCAGAGCCGAAAATGGGCCGCGGCTCAGCCGGTGTTTCGTAATAGAGATTTTGGTCCGCGGCTCAGCCGGTGCAATCATATCGACATGAATTAAGGTCCGCGGCTGGGCCGTTAAGCCATATTCGGTCCGCGGCTGGGCCGGTAAGCCATATTCAGTCCGCGGATCAGCCGGTGCAATCATATCGACATGAATTAAGGTCCGCGGCTGGGCCGGTCTTCGGCCACGCCCCCAAATTAAGGCCGCGGACGGGCCGGAAAGGCCTTTTGAGGCCGCGGCTCAGCCGGTCCCAGTGTCTGAGTAAGTATGTAGTGATCTGTCGAATGCGATTGAAGACGCTCGTAGTTCAAGCGAAAATAGTCAAAGTTCCATAAGAAACAGCAAAAGTGTTGTATGTTTACTTTGCGGTGATTAGAATCTATGGAGAGTAGGGCATAGGCAGTTATAAATGGGTAAAGTTTAACTATTGTTGAAAAAGATGCATTTTTTCAAAATCTGTGCTGGTAGCTAAGCGATTTTTCAAACATTTACATAAAAGTATTATGTCAGCTCCTGTGATGCACTTGCATCCTATTTCGCTAACAGCTGTTCCAAATAAGGGCAATTCTGTAGAATTATCCTCAACACATTTACGACAATACGACCCACCGGTAGGTCGTAAGATTCCTGAAGCTCTAGCTTTGCCAGTTTACACGGAATTCTGGTTGTGAAAGATGACTGGGGACGCCCAGGCGAAGCTCCAGCAAGGGTGGTCCGGACTCGAGATACTGTAATGTAATGTTGCGGTAAGTACCGTAGATAGATATAAGGTACAGACTTTAACTCATTTTTCGCAGAATGATTATGTTTTTGGAAGATTAAGTGTACATGCACAGTAATACGAGGCGGTCACAGAGTGACGCTAGTCCACCAAAAAATATCGATTTTATAGATTTTTTGCACTGTTTATCCCAGAAAGCTCGAAAATTACGTATATAGGTTTTGTAGCATGCTGATTACGAAAATGATAGTTTCATGTTCTAATACCACCTTCTTACATCAGTTTCCTAATTTTTACGAAAATTCTACCGTACTGCTGTCGCAGCCCCACTGTGGTATAGTAGTGAACAAGTGGATACTATAATCGTGATCAGCACATGAAATAGTCTTAAAACACACTTTTCATGATAATCCATGATCTTTATTTTGTACAAAATGAATACCGTAATTTTACCGTATGATATCGAGAACTGAAATAAATCATTTTCCAATAATCAGCGCCTTCGATTACCTCCCTAGAAAAACTTGGGGGGGGGGGGTTAGGGGGTGTATGTCAAGAGGCGCGATTTTTATTGCCAGCTGGAAAGCAAATAGCACATATTTAGTGTTTTATAAAGTTCTGTTTATATTTTAAAGTTTAGGGGAGATATATTAGATGGCTGCACGAGCTTTCCAGTCTTACTATTTCAAAAGCGATTCAAAATGAAAATTTTGAAGGTCTAAAACTCATAAAAATGCAATAAACAACAACTTTGTATTTATTTTGGTCGGATTTTCAGCAAAAGCCTTCAAACTCAGCAAGTAGTAACTTTAGATGACTAGTAAACCAATGCACTTTGTCTGGTGCTTTTTAAAGACTTGCGTAGCCTTAAACTTGAGTTTTGAGTTGGTGACACACAGAGAAATCGCGCCTTGTCGCGGCTCCGCGATGCGAGCGCTCTTAGAAGTAGGAGGCCGGGAGCACTGGCTGCTGCCGCGCTACACGGCGGCGATAACGGCACTTTCTTACGTTCGCCGCAATCGCCGCTGGACCTCTCCTCGCCTTGGCGCGTTGCCAGCCAAAAGGCTATATATAGCGGCGGCGCCTCATTGCAGCGTCTGTTCGCTTTCGTTTTCGATCGATAATCTTTTCGTATGTTTTCCATTGTGCTCGTGCCTGGCAGTTAGCTCCCGCTTTTGATGTTTCCTTTGCGTTAGCGGTCGAGCGGATCGGAAGTTGTACTGGATTGTAATTCAAGACAGATTTGGGATATTCAATATCTTGTAAACTTCGGGAGCGGAGAGGAGTCGCGCCTGGTATCCGGCGACGCGCGGCGGATCTGTATAGGTGAAGCCTCGGGAGCATAGTTCCTTTTTGTGTACATAGTCGTGCGCATCGGTAGCACGGGATGGGGCTCCCTGTCTCGTGTTGGGGTTTTTTCTTTATTTGTAGATTAGTATTGTAGCGTAGTGTTTGTTTGTTTCTTTTATGTCATAAGGATAAACGTTAGTGATTTACTATTGTTTCGTACGCGCGTTAGGGCAAGTTAGTAGGCTAGGTTGCGTCGTATGTATTAAGCGGGCGAGCGCTTAGGTAACTCGGGTTAGATCTAGGTGCTTAGAGCCCACCGAGCCGCCACACGCCTTTTGACCGTCTCCCGGCGTTAGGTACCCAGCCGAGGTGTGGGCGTTGAGTACTCAGCTTAGTGGTATACACTAAGCCGCGCACCTTGGTTGCTTCAACAGCGGGTACCTAACGATACACCGAATCATAGCTGCTAGAACAGCTCACCTAGCTCGCTAAAGAGCTGGCGCTTGCGACCCACAGACAAAAGAGAGTTCGAGGTAATCAAAAAAAAGCGAGAATTAAAGCGCAAGTTTGTACACAACGTTTTTTCTCTTGCTTCTTTTTTTTACAATTTTAGACTCAAATTCGTTATTGAAAGTTGGAAACAGGGCAAAGCTTTTATAAGCACTTTACGTAGTTTTGCAAGGAAAAATTGAGATAATCTGATCTATAACCGATAAGTTCGGGGGAATTTTAGAAAAGTAAACTTCACAAATAAGTTGCACGAAATAACTTTGTTTTAATAAACTGCTCTCAATATATTCTGACAAAGAGAGGTGGAACCGATTGAAAGAAGAGCTTCGACGAGAACTTGTCATCAGGAATCGGAACTCTATAGGGACTATGTGACACATTAATTTATGGAAAGGGCACTGGCTCTGTTCCAGTCAACGGAAATTATACATTATAGAACTATTTCAGTCTTGTATGAGTGTGTGCCAGTAGAATGAAACAGGAAAAAATAATAAAGTCTCCTGAGAGCAATTCTTGACAGAACCTTTCGCTTTTTAGTGAATCACAAAAAGTTCATAGCTTTGGTTGGATAAATTGATCATATTTTTGGCTGCTAGAAAAGAGAATGAATATGAAACAATTGCAATATGAAAATCCAAAAAAGCACTACAGAGAACATAGCCATGATAAAATATGTACAGTAGCTCAATATAATTTTCATACAGGATATGAAATCTTCCGAAATAGAGAAAAAAATTTGTGCTTATCGATGTGATGTCCCATGAAATGTTGGCTTCAGCAATCACCGAAGTAATAGCCTTAGTAATCTAAGATAATGTAGCTCACACTAACTTGGCGATATCAACGCAAAAGGGTTACGACCAGGGTCAAGCGTGTTGATGCGATCCGGGACCCCCAATTACGACCCCCCCCCCCCACCCATCCGTACGACCCCCGCCCCATCTACCCCCCTCCCCCCCCCCCCCCCATTTACCCCCTTACCTCCCCTGCCCACATTCCTCGCGGTAACCTGCATAAACGAATGTCAATCTCAAAAAACATCTGCGTGGAACTTCAGTGAGGTTTCGGAAACAGAATTTTTAAGCCAATAGGTGCACCCAGCATGCTTAGCGCACATACACACCTTTGATAGTGTTTGAGACTCTGCAAGTTTTTTTTTGAATTTTTAGGCATACTTCAGGCCAGCAAATTCGGTTCCCGTAGGCGAAACAAATTTTTGCACGGAGAAGAAAATGACATTCTTGAACAACAAAAGATGTTTTCGACTAAGTAGCTTACTTTCTACTTTTTGCACAGTTTTTCCTGCGAAAAAAACCCGCTTGAGCGCCGTCCAGAACGATTTCAAAAACGTGCATGAACACGGTAGTTCGAAAATTCGTAACTAAAGCCAGGAAAAGACTGAGAGGCTGCAAAGCACAGG